CAATTTAGCAAATTTAAGTTTTAAACCACTAAAAGGTTTGAATTAAAAGCTTGTTGCTTTAATTTGATGTTAAACGTTATTAAGTAAAGTCACCGAAAAGCATCAACCCATTTGGCTTCGTCAAGACTTTAATGCTCGAAATTGATTCACTTGACTCATTTCAATTCGAATGAGTAAATTTGGAATTAACTTTTACTTCAGTTCAATTCAATTCTTAATTGAAACGTTTTAAGATTCTGCAAAAGTTTTGCTTTCGCTTTGTTTTTAGCACTACAGCATTTTAGCATTTGCATTCAATGCTGCTCATCAATAAATTGTAAATTGAAATTGAAATGGAAACATTCAAATTTTGATTTGCTGCCCAACACAGACACAAAAATGAAAGTGAAATGCGCTTCAAATTAAGTGCTTGGTCTAACGATTTGTCTATCTCTCTCGCTCTCTCTTTCTCACCTCTCCCTCTCTCTCTCTCTCTGTCTGTCTATTTGGCTACTTCAATGAGCCGCAATTGAAAATGTCTGTTGAAATGCTGCGCACCGCATAATAAACGACGAGCACAAACAACAATTTAATGCAGCCGGAGCTGTGTTGCTGCTGTTGCTGTTGTTGCTTTTGTTGCCGCTGCAATAATTAATAAATATTTGCGAGGTGAGAGTTGCCCAATTGATCAAAATGCTCACGCTCGATAAGTTATCGAGCACATTCACGCATATCGAATGTGTTGCTTAAACAAGAATCCCATTTCTTCACTATTTTCAATGAGTAATTGCTGCAAATGGGTTAGCAGTGAGCGTAGAGTGGCTTCAAAAGGCTAGCAATGTGAATTCGATATGTTATCGATAACATTGTGGCATTGAGTTTGGGCTTGCAATAATTAGCACTTACTATAACAATGTCAAAATCGAGCATCAAGTTTTGTCTATGCAGCCGACGTGTGCTCGATAAGTTATCGATAACATGAATATCTGAAGATTGGAGTTATACGAACAGCAAGCGCGCGTTTCTTCAGTTTTCAGTGAGCCCTAAGAACTTCTTATCGATAAGTCATATCAGATTAAACATATCGATAGTGGTATGAGTAGAAGTAATATGTATGCCTCGCTATACGTTTCAAAATTGAACAATATAAATCGAAAATTTAAACTTGAAATCACATTTTTGTAATGGAAAATCTTTGTAGTTTGCGAATTCCACAAAGGGGGTATAAATATAAATCAAATCAGTTTATGAAATGCTGCTAGGCTATTGCCTATGGGTCAATGCCAATCACTGGCAATGGCAGCAACTGTTTAGAATAGCCAGCCAGCCGGCCAGGCTAGGTAATCAGAAGCTGACGTCACGATGCATTCAGGAATCAAATGCAACCAGTTGGCGAATCAAGCTTTTATGCAACCGAAAAACCTCACAGGAGAGAAAGCCAGGCTTGCAGGCAGACGACTAAGCTAATTGAAAGGGGGGAGCAAGTGGTGGGAGGGGCTGCGATTACGGCATTTGAATTCTAGCGCAGCTTGCGGTAGTTGACGTCACAGAACGAAAGACTGAGACAACAAACGCGAGTGTGTGTGCGTATGTGTGTGGTCGCAAACGGTTCATTTGCAAATGCCGTTAATGTGTGCAGCCAGAGTCACGGAATAAACCATCAAAATTTATTGAATTAAGCGCAACTAGTATCTGTGCAAATTGTGAATATCTGAAAATCGGCTAGGCCATGTCAGATGAAAACCCGTTTGCCTCTTAAACTTCTTCAACACAGTTGAGCACCTCAGCTGGCAAAGAGATTGTGCTGCACTAGCTGAAGTGGACGACAAGTGCTTGCAGTTGGCTCATCAACCAGTCAATGCAGTCAGTCAGTCGGTCAATCAGTCTTATCTATATGTTGTCAGGCAATCGTCAAATGATCACCGTTGGCTAGCCAGTCTGCTTGACTGGTTATTATTATTGGTCCATCAAGTTAGTTATTCTGTTAGCCAGACAGCAGTAACTTAATCAATCAGTCAATCAGTAAGTACAATCAAGGGGATCAGTTGATCAAACAGGCAATTGATTATACCGAGCCAGCTAATCAGTCAGTAATAAATCGGTCATTTAATCAGAGAATCAATCAGTCACTGAATAAATCTTTCAATCAGTTGCTCAATCAGTCAGTAAGTCAGTCGGTCATTCATCAGACAAACAATGTCTGAGTCAAGTCAATCAGTAATCATTCCTGCATTTAATCAGTCCCTGAATCAGCTAGCCCATCAGTTGGCCAGTCATCAAATCAATCTATTGTTCAACAATCAGTCAATTGGCTTATCAATCACTTATCTTTAAGCCCATCAAGTCATAAGTCAACCATCAAATTCAGTTTGTCAATCACTCGTTTATTAATCAATCTTCAGTCATCAATCACTGACACAATATTGCATTCCCCTAATCTTCACTTACGAAACAATTGCTCTCAATTCGCAATGAGCCATTAAGCAGTCAATACGGCACGCAGTCCATCAGTCACTTGGTCAACCAGGCAGTCATTCAATCAGTCAGTCAGTCAAGGTAATTCATGCTTTATTAATGCTCTGCATTTGAAATGTGAGTGCGATAACTGCAGTTTAATTGGCCTCACAGGTGTCAAGTGCATAGGGGGGGCTTTAAGTAAACAATGTTGTTTATGTACTCGCCCCTAAAAATGTCAGCCAATATATCAACTTTTGAGCACTAGGAAGTTGGTCTATAAAGTGCTTTAATGGCTAACTAAAGCAAAGCTAAACAAAGGCAACTCGTTTGATTACAACTTGATTTATGATTATGTTAACAGCTAAGCCAGCTATATTTAATATATATATCCATATTAAGAAAGAAGTTTTTTAATGAGAAACAACTTGGGCATGATTCTAGGTATGTATAGAGAACGTTTACGTCGGATGACGTCTGCAATGGGAGTTTTATTGGAATTTATCTAGAAAACTGTCAGCGAATAAGTTTGATTCGTTGATGTCAGCAGAAGGGATTTTATGGCCTTTTATTATGTTAATGTGAACAGTTATCGATGATACATATCGATAGCATATTATTGAGAGTGTGGCAGAAACGTTTACGTCTTCAGTATTTTGGCATTGGGTGTAAGATGTTACCTTGCTTTAAGTTGAGTCGATAACTTGTCGATAACATATGCAATTTAGTGGAATCGAACTACTCCAGCGATACTTCAGCCCTACTTCCTTTGAAAGCTGTCACAAACGGGAATATGTAGAAAATGGATTTGCTTATAGCTTAATAAGATAAACTTTTTATATCTGTATATATGTATCGATATACATGTATGTGTGTGGGTAGTTAACTCCCATTAAAATGCGCATTTAGCTAGCATTACGCATACGCCTCGTGGTGGCTGTGGTTTTTCACCTTGTAAGCAAAAACTAACCGCCAATGCCAAATGAAAATGCTTCCTCAACCAATATATTAGACTTTCCGATATGCTTAGATGTTTGATAAAGCTCGAAAGGAATTATTTCAAGTTCTCGTTAAGCACTTGCCGAGACTTTAGGCATTTGTTTCGCAAGGCGGCACAATTGTATTTATTTCTTACTTGAGCCATAAAAACAGTTAGCTCAGCTGGCAATCATATATATATATATATATACTTATAGCTGTAAAATCCTCCAATTATGGCATAGCTCTGACCCATATTGTAAAACGTTGACCAACTCGTTGGGTGCCAAATACGGAAGCCATATGTAAGCCTAATGAATTGAAAAGCAAAGCAAAGCAAAAAACAAACTCAAAAGCTCGAAAAACTCAAGTCTCGATAGCAAGTGAGTATGAACAACTAGAGGCTACCCTGGAGGCGCTTCACGTAGCAGACTGCTAAGGGGCAAATGTGTATAGAAGACAAAATATTATATTGTGTATACAAATTTGACAAATTAGATGCTTGGGAGTTGCCTTAGCTTAAGCTGTCAATTCCGGATTGCCTGACTCAATAATATAAAATAATTGAAAGATTTTATATAGGTTTATTTAGATTAGAAAATGTCTCTATAGGCTATAGACTATATATATATATATGTAAAGATTTGGCTTATAGCTGACACAGAGCTGAGTCAACTGTTGACAGTCTTCAATCTAATCAACATACCCTGTTTGCTTCCATGCTCAACATGGAGTGAAGCAAAGCAGAGAGAGAGAGAGAGAGAGAGAAAGAGTAAAAACGGTGAATTTGACAGCGCTGTTAAAAAGTTGTAATAATAATTTCCTGGCTGTGATTTGCATGCTGCAAGTTTTGTTAAACATACTTAATCATTGCTACTTTATGTCGCACCGCCTCACCCCACTCGACTCGTGGACCACCTACGCGACTTGACAGTCGTCCATGGGGTACTCAATTTTTATATGCTCTGGAAAATGTCTTGCGATATATGCGACCCCATAAACCATATCAGACAAAGTTGCATTTTCCTCATCTCTTATTGTGAGCAACAGCTCATGCAACACTAATTATCTTGATTCATTGAAGTCAGGCACTCGCAGAGCTACTTGACTGCATCATTTGTATGCCTTTACCTTTACCACACCTAGTAAGAGTATTTCCATTCTCTTCCTGATAGTATCATCCAGCACTTACTGTAGCTATGAATTGATATCTTGATTTTTAGATAACTGAAGTTCAGATGCCTCTTACGAACATTTCAACTAGAAGACAGATGCCATTGCCATTTCATTAGGAAACTCCGTCTAGATCTAAAGTTATTCAGCAATGAGGTTCCTAGAGTAGAGCCCACGCAGCTCAAGGTCAGTCGTTGCGTCAACTGCGCAGTTAGCAGAGTGCGCTGCTTTTTATCTGTGGCATAGCGGAATAGTCGAGCACTCTTGCTTGTAATGTAGGTATATTATTATTGTATTTGGGTATCTTCTACTCGGGCTCTCCTACACCAGATCACTCTTCTCGAAATTGTAGCCAAAGGCGCGACATCTGCGCAGCAGCTGAAGTGAAAGTCTACAAAAAAAAAAGCGATAACAGATATTTTGTGTATCTTTAACTCATTCTTTATTGTTTTATGAATTGTTCTGCTCTTGTTTTGTGTTGTTCTGCTCTGTTTTGTTAAATTTTTCGAACATTTATTTGAACAAGTGTTGATAAGCAGCCGTGACTTTTGCCTAGTGTTCTCCTCGTGTTCTTGAATTGGTAATCTCAGTGTCAAGCGTATTTGCTGAGCAAGCGGCAAACATCGTGTTTTCTTCTGTATTTAAGTTAGTTTCTTGGGGCCGAGATGCTTGAAAACGGTTAATTTCGCAATTTTAAAGTGGCCACGGAAAAAGCTGGAAAGAGTACGAGAAATGTTTAAAAATAAATGAACTGAAATGATTTGCGTATCGAACTTACCTGCCTAAACTATGTGAAAAGTTCTTTTCTCGGTGTAAAATGTAGCAAAAGTGTGTTTTTCGTTATAGAATTAAAAAAAGTCTTCATTCGTATTCAATGTCAGCTGACATTTTAAAATTGTCGATCTTTTTTTCTGTGTTTAAGTTTGTTTCTTGTCAAAGATGCTTAAAAACGATTAAGCTCGTAATTTGAAAGTGGCCACGGAAAATCTGGAGAGAGTACGAGTTATGTTTCAAAATGAATGAACTGAAATAATTTGCAAATTAAACTTACCTGCCTAAACTATGTGAAAAGTTCTTTTCTCGGTGTAAATTGTAGCAAAACTGTGTTTTTCGTTATATAATTAGAAATAGTCTTCATCTGTATTCAATGTCAGCTGACATCTGAAAATTGTTGACCTTTTTTTCTGTGTTTAAGTTTGTGTCTTGCGCGAGATGCCTAATTATCCAATTTTATTTGCTGGAAAGAGTATGAGCTATGTGTCAAAATAAATGAACTGAAATGATTTGAAATAATTTGCGAATCAAACTTACCTGTCTGAACTATGTTTTTTTTTTTCGGTGTAAATATGTGTAATCTTCCTCAATATTCAATTAGTCAGCTGACATCTGAAAATTGTCTAACATTTTTTCTGTATTTAAGCTTGTTTTTTGCCGGAGATGCTTAATTTTGTAATTTTCACGTGGCCACGAAAATGCTAGAGAGAGCACGAGCTATGTGTCACAAGGAATGAACAGAAATAATTTGCGAATCAAACTTACCTGCCTGAACAGTTTTTTTTTTCGGTGTAAATTGTAGCAAAAGCGTGCATTTCTTTATAGAATAAGAACTAATCGGCGGTCTCCTCCTCCAAGTGGTTAGATAACATCTGAAAATTGTCGATGACAATCTGAAGCGCTACCAGCTCCTTCAAGAAGTTCTGCAAAGCGCGACGAGCCTTCTTCGACAGCCTGACTCCCCCCAACGTGCCACGTGAACGCGAAGAATTGCTGTAGTTAAACGGTGATGGACGCATTTTATCGAATTACTTTTAGCTTTTATTTCCGAAAATCGCGCGAAAAAAAAATTATTTATTTTTATATTTTTAATTATTATTTTTTCCTTTTTTTTCACAAGCTCACAATGTGCTCTAGACGAGTAGTCGATTCAGACTGAAAGTTTTTTGTTCTCTGCGCTGGGATATAGGAATTTTTTCACAGCCCACTTGGATGCGAAGGAAAATATCAATAAGTTTCCATGTTGCATGAAAATTGTTATCGATTTTTTTATGACATATACCCAATAGTTACTATGGTTGATAATTTCGTATGAGCAGCTCGCAGTGAAGTCAAAGCCTAAAATTTGCTATAGATACTTCTTAGAGCATCAGCTTTAAAATATGTTGAGTGGTCTCTCCACTAACTAATCTAATCCTCTAAAAAATTGTCAATCTGTTTTTCTGTACTTAAGTTTTTTCGCCCGAGATGCTTGAAAACGGTTAATTTCGCAATTTTAAAGTGGCCACGGAAAAAACTGGAGCGAGTACGAGTTATGTGTTAAAGTGAACGAACTGAAATAATTTGCGAATCAAACTTACCTGTCTGAACTATGTGAAGAGTTTTATTTCTGTGTAAATTATTGCAAAAGTGCGTATTTCGTTATAGAATTAGAGCTAATCTTACTCAATATTTAATTAGTCAGCTGACATTTGAAAATGGTCGATCTTTCTCTCTGTATGCAATTTTTATGTGAACACTGAAAATGCTAGAGAGAGCACGAGTTATGTGTTAAAGTGAATGAAATAATTTGCGAATCAAACTTACCTGTCTGAACTATGTTTTTTTCAGTGTAAATGTGTGTATTTGGTTATAGAATTAGAATTAGTCGGTCTGTACACTCAGTTGGTTAGATAACATCTGAAAATCGCTGATGACAATCTGAAGCGTTACCAGCTCCTTCAAGAAGTTACGCAAGGCGCGTCGAACCCTCTTCGACAGCCTGAGTCCCCTCAGTATGGCACGCGTGCGCTGACGCTCGATGCGCGAAGAATCGCTGTAGTTGGTCGGTGATGGACGCATTTTATCGAATTACTTTTAGCTTTTATTTCCGAAAACCGCACAAAACAAATTATTTTTATTTTATACTTTTCTTTTATTTATTTATTTTTTTTTGACAAGCTCACAATTTGCTCAAGACGAATAGTCGATTCAGACTGAATATTTTTTGTTCTCTGCGTTGAGATATAGTAATTTTTTCACAGCCCACTTAAATGCGAAAGAAAATATCAATAAGCTTCCATGTTGCATGAGAATTTTCTCTAGATACTTCTCAGAGCATTAGCTTTAAAATATATTGAGTGGTCTCTCCGTCTGTTATCTCTACGAGCTGGAGGCAGACTCCACTTTGGCAACCATCGGTATGTGAAGATATTACCAAATAATATTGAGCGTAGCCAAGTTTCCATGGGCTAAATCAAAGCTTTTTTGATGGCGCATAAAACTGTGATTGATTGGAATGCCAATATCTAGTGGGCAGCCAGTTGACTGTGGGGTCAAGCAGCTGGGTAAAAGTTTCGATACGAGAGGAGCACATGAAAATTGGCAACGGAGAATGGAAGTGTAAAGAGAAGAAGAAGCAGCAGCAGCAGCAGCAGCAGCAGCAGCTGTGGCAGCAATAGCATGGGCAGGTGTAGCTTAAAGATTTCACCTAACCAGCAGCAACTCGTAGAAGAAATCGCCAACTTAATTTACAGCATTCAGCGATCTATGCAATCTTCTGCTTTGTTTTGCTTTCTTGGCGCTTTTTTTTTTCTTATTTGTCGCCTTTTGAAAAAACATTTTCACTTTCGTTTTCAATCTCTACGTGTGTGTGTGTGTGTGTTTGGTTTTGGTTTTGGTTATTTTATTTTTTTTTTTTTAGCCCGGGCCAATAATCACAATAATCGTGGTAAGCGGGCAGTCAGTCAGGCCAGGCCAGGCCAAGCCAGGCCTGGGGGCTCCGCGCACAGAAAACGAAAAACTGGTTGCCAACACTTGGCCGGATGCTTGGAATTTTCGGATGCCGAACGAAAGTGAAAACACCGCCGCCAAGAAGCCAAATGAAATCAAAATGAGAAAAAAAGAGCCAAGCCAGAAAAAGAAAAAAATTGAATTTAAATAAATTACGTATGTTAATTGCGCAGCCGGTCAAGAAAAATGGTTCGCCACCAACTCCCAAAACTGAAACCGAAACTGAAACCGTTTCTGTTTTGGTTTTGGCTTTGGCTTTGGCTTTGGCTTTGCGAATTCGACTTGCGGCTTACTTGAATTAATGAGGGTCAAGACACTTGACTTGGCTTTGGCTTTCTACGCTAGCCGCCTACTTCATTATCAGCCAGATCATTATCATCCGCAGCTCGTCAGCTTTAGCAGCAGCAGCAGCAGCAGCAGCGCCAGCATCTGGCTGATTAACATCTTCATCTTTGTCAGCCCTTTTATCGGACTGATCATCATCATCATCATCATTATCATTATCATTATTGACATCTTCTGCAGCGTCACCTTCAGCTGCATCATCTTCTGCTTTATCAGCAGTTTTAGGCTTTCTACTCTTGCCGCCTGCTTCTTTATAAGCATGATCATCATTAGCATCATCGTCATCATCATCATCAGCAGCAGCAGCAGCAGCAGCAGCAGCAGCAGCAGCAGCATTATCGACACCTTGAAATTGTTGCAGGTGGCAGCGCGAACTTTTTTTGTTTCTTGTTGCAGCTACAGCTAAGGGCAGGCGTTGTATAGCTGCAGCTTAAGATATATAGGCGACTAACTGATACTCTCTAAAGTAAACAGCAAAACAATTATTGATCAGTTGAGAGTTGAGCTACTCAGGAATAAGATCTCAGTAGATCTTCTGCCCGTTGCATATTGATGCAAGGAATCATCAGACCCGCCTTGAATTCACTTTCATTCGAGAGCTGCATGCGAACAGCAGCAAAGATCGATGGTTAAGCACGTGACTTCAGTTAATGAAAGCGCATTGTTATCACACCTTATGCTATGTCGCCTCCCATCTCTCTCTCCTCTCTCTCTCGCTCTTCTGCCTCCTTCACTACTGCGCCAGCCTTGCAGGCATATAAATTGTACGTCTAGAAGCTGACAGCAATCAGCGGCCCATTTGTTAAGCTGCCCAACAGCTGACCTTCTTCTGCAGCTCCTCTGGAGTAGCCAGCTCAACATCCTGCTTGCGCGCATAACTGTTAACATACACCATATATAACAGCATTTTTTGACAGAGCTCCATGGCGTGAACTTTCTTGGGGCATTTCGCATCTGTGGTATCATTAGCTGCGCTTGGCTATGATTAATTGCGCCTGCGTTTCAGGGCAACTACTGTCAAAGGCCTTGACGTGTTTGTTAGCTAGCGACAGACTATGACACAGAGTCTATAAGAAGTCGAAACTGAAGTCAAAGTCATTTGGCCTTAGAAACCACAGTGCATTGACTAGAAGATACTCTCTCTATATGAGTTCCATGTTCTTTGGTTAATCGAGTCAGCTTCTGCTCAATCTATACTGTTAGCTATCTATGACCTGAAGATTTCTTAAAAAGAGTTTTAATATTGTTTCTATGAAGCTTTTATTGGATCTTTTTCTACAATACAGCTTTAGGACCTCCAAGAGAACTTTAAGTTTTGCAAAAACTTTATCGCTTTTATATACTTTTCGCAAGGTCTGTCATTCAATATTAATAGCTTTAAGTTTCGACAAGAGCGACTTCTTTCCTGTACACATATATCTTCCATATAGTCCAGCTCTTTTCATGCTGGCTATAAACCTGTCGGTTGCACCCCAACAGCTGTCAATATTTGTGCCTTTAACAATGTTCTACTTAATGATAAATGAGTGAGGCTTTAAGGCATTTAATGAGATAATCTTTAATAATAAGCTGGCCATTATAAATTGGATCCAAGACCACCAGACAAAAGACTTGGAGCGCAAACTTGAATGTCAATTCACTTTTCATCGTTGGTCGTCGTCGTCGTCGTTGTCGTTGTGTGTCTCTTTAATCTCAACAATTATCGCATTTAAGACTGGAAAATGATCTCATAATCAGTTTTCTATCCAGTCCAGCATCAGCACAATTAAAGGCCAATTGAACCAAGCGACTCGTTTTGTCAATTAATATTCAAAAAGAAAAAAAAAATCAAATTAAACTTGTTTTTTTTTGTTTTTGTTTTTGCCTTTACTTTTTTTCGGTACTTTTCTTAAACTTTTCTTTTCCGCTTGTTGATGCCGGCATGTACGTCGTTTCTCTCTCCCTTCCTCCCCATTTCTCTCCGTTCGTATACCCTGTAAATGTTGCAATGGAAGGGTATACTAGCTTCTGTTAATGACTGAGAGAAGAAGGCGTAGTCAAGGAACGGGCTAACGTTTCTTTATATCCGTTCATTTCGATGAATGAAGGCTTGAACTGATAGAGTATTATACTTGTAGAGTATTAGAGTATGATAGTATAATGTTCATAGAATATAAGAATAAGCATACGGAGAGTATATTAGAGTGGAGAGTATATTAGAGTGTGAAATTATAGACTATATGAGTAAAAGAAGGAGTATGCGTGTCTTGAAATACAAATTCAAAATTATCAGAGCAAGAATATTTGGTTGCCCGCTTGAGGCTTTCATATAGATAGAAGATAGAAGATGGAGATGTGAAAGCACTTTGATATATTTTATGTCTAGAGAGTATTCGATAGGGTATCTCGTAGTCGAGCACTCTCAATAATTTTTTTTTTTTGTTGACTTTGCTTTGCATTGTTTTGAATTAATAATTTATATCGATTTTTATAAGCGCCCGCGGCGCACATCAATTGATTTAACGGATTAGCATGCAGACACACACACAAACATGTGTGTGTGTGTGTGTGTGTGTATGTGAATATTTATAAACGCTTGTTGTTTTTGCTCCTTCTCCCTCCACTTTACAAGTTGATTTGCAATTTATGAAACGCGTTCAGCCAACAAGACGAAGAGACGAAAGTAAAAGTTCAATTAAATAAAGATAAATTGCACAACAATTGTTGTTGCTTGTTATTATTGTTGTTGTTTTCGTTGTTGCTGCTGCTGCTGCTGCTGCTGTTGTAGCTTGTTGCCTGTTGTTAACTCTGCTCTGGTCCAATTCCAATTCGCAGCTTAAGCCGCAGCTCAGTTTGCACTTCATGTCCATGTCTCCATTTACTTTACGTAAGCTTCAATAAAAATGCAAAAATAAATTCCAAAACAAAATTAAATAAAACAAAAAACACGTGAATATCTGCCCTAAGGTCCCCGCCCCGCATAAAATACCTCACCCATAAACTATTTGGAAATTTTTATGTGCTGAATTTAACATTTATTCGATTCTGCTCTTGTTACATGTAATATCATATCCATAGGCATTATTTCACAGCAAAGACTGCAAATCGATATTTATCGATATAATCCAATTTGGATATTTTTATGTGCTGAATTTTACATTTATTCGATTCTGCTCTTGTTACATGTAATATTATATCCATAGGCATTATTTCACAACAAACTCGCAAAATCGATATTTATCGATATAATCCAATTTGGATATTTTTATGTGCTGAATTTTACATTTATTCGATTCTGCTCTTGTTACATGTATAATCATATCCATAGGCATTATTTCACAGCAAAGACTGCAAATCGATATTTATCGATATAATCCAATTTGGATATTTTTATGTGCTGAATTTTACATTTATTCGATTCTGATCTTGTTACATGTAATATCATATCCATAGGCATTATTTCACACCAAAGACTGCAAATCGATATTTATAAATAAATAAATAAATAAAAATAAATATCGATATGCTCCAATTTGGATATTTTTATGTGCTGAATTTTACATTTATTCGATTCTGCTCTTCTTACATTTATTAGTATATCCATTGGCATTACTTCACAGCAAACTCGCAAAATCGATATTTATCGATATTTGGAATATGAGAATTAGTAATCGAGTAGACTGTCTGGCTAGATCGACAGCCAAATCATCAGAGAGTTATGTCGGTTTATGGACTCACCTATAGAGATTCTCTACTGCATGTTACATATCGATTCAAGCAATCGTCACACCCAGTTGGAATTCGCTTTCAGCATCAGCAGAGAGCGGCCTGCAGAAGACAATAAAGACAACAAAGATCGATGGTCCAGCACGTGGCTTTAGTTAATGAA